GGGAGGTCGGGGGGGGGGCGGACCCCGCACAGCGGCGTGCGGGGCTCCGCTGGAACGGGGGCTCGTCAGCACAAGGGGCCCGGGGGGAGCCGCCCCCCCGTTAAATCCCAGCCGCTGGGTTTGACGCGCCGCCCGCAAAGGCGTTTTGGAAGAGAAGGCGCCCCCGGTGCGCTCCGGGACCGAGGGATCACCCCGACACCGGACGGTGCCGCGGCCGGCAGGGACCCCGACCCACGCCGTTTCACGAGCCGTTTGTCTTCCAGCGCGCAACAGAAATAAACCCCCTAACGCTGTCCTCAGACGGGGCTTTTACCCGCCTGGGTCTGTGTTAAACCGAGCCGGAGCCGGGCTCAGCCCGTGTCCCCGCTCACCAGCCTTCCCCAAAAACCGCACAGCTGCGGGGCCGTGTCCCCCCACCCTGAGCGCTGCCGAAAGGGAAACCGGATCCTCCTTGTTCTTAAGATGTCACTGCGGTTCTACCTTCTGTGGCTGTTCTGGTTTTGCCTAGATCTGTTGTGTTTTTGTGATAATTTTGCACGGGTCCCTTCTGACTAGGTTCAGAAAGTGTCTTAAAGATGTAAAAGAAATCCTAAATTAATTTTCCCAAACCTCCCATTTCCCTCCAGCAACAAGCTGCTCTGTGCTCCTGTTCTCCCTCAGACACGCTGCCCAGCGGGATCTGAAGCCCCTGGTCCTCCTCGCTCATTCTCCTTTATCCCCGGTTCCTCTTTGCACGGACACAGCGCTGCAGAGCCTCTCGTTGCCCACATTTCACTTCTAGCAAATTCTGGGTTTCTTTTCACTCGGCACGTGCAGGTTTGTGCCTTGCTCTGCTCAGACATCGTGTACAGGACCTGTGTGTGATGACCCCTTCATTTGGGATTTTGCTGTGAAGATCGGGCATGTGCTGTGACTAAACGCAGCCCCCTGTCCCCTTGTGCCCCACTGGTCTCTCCAGGTGCATGAGGATCAGGAGTGTCCATTTTTTTGGAGGTCTGGGGCTCCTCGTCCTGGTCAGCGTGTCCTTGGGACCTACCCTGGGACATTAATCCCTTAACATACACACACAAGTAAAATAAAAAATGCAGCCCAAACTTGCTGAGAAACAGAATTCCCTTTTCGTGACAGTCGGGGTAAAGGGGAAGGTGAAACCTGGGCCAAAGGGGGGTGAGGGGGGGGAAATGCCCAGCGCAGCCCCTGTGTGTGAGACAAAGGTTCAGCAGGCGAACCCCTCTCTGTGGTGCCTGAACCACTAACAATTGATTTATTATTTTTTTTCCCCGTTCCTTGCTTGTTCCTTAATATCCTGCTCTCTGTCTCCCGGGGGCTGCGCACGAGAGATGAAAGCCCAGAAATCCAAACAAGCCAGTGGCGGTGCTCACTCAATTGATTTTTACACAAAATTTGCCTTCATGCACAGAGGATGGAAAAATGATCCCATTAATAATGAATAACAAAAACAAATGCAGGGAGGAGATCAATAGAAGCACATCTGATATCGCAGGGGCTGCGGGGGGGGGGAGTCCCCAGACACACGAAAGCACTGGTG